TGGGTTGAAGAGAACCCTAAATCTGTAACTTTTGAAAAACCAGACGTATTTTACTTCTCACCAAACGTTTAGGCAGTTATAAAGAAAAAGTATAGTAATGCTGGCAGAAAATGATTCGACGAAAACTTTTCTCGGTCGGTCACTGATAACAAAAAAATGCTATAAATCGTCTTCCTATATGTAGTACATACTTGCTCTAAAATGTTGTTTAGTCCAGATCCACGCTTGATAGGTCTTGATAACGAAAAATCGGTTGATGGCTTAAACACTTGACCGTTTGTCTGAACAATGTGAGCAAGAAATTTAATCAACCTTCCGTTAGTTTGTAGAAACAAGAAATTACTACGTGTCCCTGACTATCAAAATAAATGCAGTGGTGATCATCACAAAACGCTATTTATTTTAATTGTATTGGACTTTTAAAGTTATAAACTAAAGTGTTATTAGGGCACAAATTGCAATATTAAATATTAAATTAACCGTTCCAATAGTGCAGAAAGTAAGTGCAGTTGAGCACTTCTAGTTTGTAACGAAGTAAATGAAATCTCTTCTCTTTTTCTAAACTGTAACTTTCAACTGTTCTCATTTTATAAATTAATATAGACTTCGCAATTAATTTGTCACTAAATGGCGGAACAATATGAAAACACCATTCTCAAAATACATTCGATCCTCGCGTGCAATATTTTAAACAGTACAAATACACTTAAGCTCATGTGGACCAAAATATACGAAAAGTGTTAACAAAATATGGTATCTCCCCATGGTTAATAACCTAAAACCGGCCACGCGCGAAGCGAATGCGCAGATTCATTAATCCGAATCGCACAGTAAAAAGGTAGGTGCTTTTATCTCCATTACGTTGGCTCGTGAAACTTTCTCTGTGTACGCCTGGGCGGCAAGCCATAAAAATTCTAGTCATAAATACGCAGCGCGCGATAAACTGTTGGTAACACACTTGTACAATTGTTCGCGTATCGCAATTGAATCATAAAGTCATATATCAAACGTACCTGAATGGACAAAGGGTACGATACAGTGTGAACATCGCCGCCACCGTGTCGTGTTCAAATAAACTGCTCGAGTCTAATTTTACATTGTCATGGAGTTTTTCAAAATTCAGTTTTGTTGTAAAGAAAGTATTACCAGAACCAAACCACACCGGTTCAGAAGGAAAGAAAAAACAATATTGTAAAGCACATAGAAATACAAAATAGTTTTAGTGCGAAATGCATGCAGCAAAAATTCCGTGATGGACAACCCCAGCAAAAGATTAACATTTATTATAAATCAGTAAATTGATAGAATTGATGTAATTTAAATAAGACCACAATATTTATTTGAATTAATATGATTCAACAAAATATGTTTTCAATTTGATTACCATCAAGTCAAATATGATGTATTTCTTGTAACCCTTTGATGAAAAAATATGGAACAAAATCATATACAATATTTTAATTATTATATTATCCAAAATGGTTATTAGCTTAAGACGGGGACTTCCATAACACGTGGGATTTGTTTAAGCACACAATTACATTCGATCGAAAGACCGTAAACTGAATAATGGGTATGGAAAACTTCATGAACAGAATAGTATATATCGCAACTAGTTCATAATGGTTATGCTTTTATTTTATACATACTTGTTCAACGGCGATGTTAAAGGCGGCTTTTAGT